CAGTTCACCTGCTTTCTGTATCTCAGCCGAGGTAACACAGATGGGTTCTTCCACCCTCAGGCTGAAGGTTGATAGTGCTGATAATATATTAGCATTTCCTCTCGGGCCCTTTCTGACTCCTCCATTGCCAGTCAGATTTCTTAGCAAGCAATCAGTCAATGCTCCCCAGCAAAGAGTACCTAAAGTTCACCTTAAGGTTAAATCCCAGTAAAAGGGGAGACTGTCTCAGCCAACCAGAGAAAGCAAATGTCTCATAGCTACCTTTCTGTAGTTAACTTAATCACCAAGTTTCTGAGAGATAGGGTTAGACTTGTGTATGAAACAAAGACAGCCCAGGAATTTTGTAAAACCTTTTCATCACACCTCCATAAAAAGCTCCAGCAGAAGCTCAGACCGTTTCCTTCCAGTGACAGATGCCAATTCAGCCAACACTTCTTTTTTGCTACTGTATAGAAGAGGCTACCATCTTCACAGAAGTTCATTTCTGCCTTTTTCATCAATCTGAGGTGCCTGTTTTCTAGTCAGCTTTCAAAATAGCCAAGGAGAAAAGAAAAAGTTCAAAGAGCTGATTTCTGCAGGATCAAGATCTTTCTGGACAAGAAAAATGGTTATGGTTCTTCTGAGAATGCGATACAAAGAAGTAGTTTTTTAGCCTTGTTATATTAATTGTGAGTAGGGAAGAGCTTCACTCAAAATACTACTCACCTTCTACCTTTTCCTAACTCCTACTTTGTTGCCTGGAATTTTCAGTACAGAAAGCCCAGTGTCAGCACAGAAAGAAGTAGGGAAGGCAATAAATATTTCCCTTCCACATCTGAAACAGCCCGAAGCGCCCTGCTATCATTCCTGATAGATTTGCAATTTAGTTAATCAGTGACTCTTATCTGCAGGCTCTGTCCCCGATTTCTGAAGAGCAAATCACAGCTGTCAAATCACATCAATTACAGGAACCAGTCTTGTTTTTACAACTCAACAGGTGTTTGTATTTGATTATTATATCCTTGAGTCCCAGAGAGAGAAAACTTCCCCAGAGACTTTTTTTCCTTCCCTTCACTGAAGTTCAGATACTATTGCTCTTGGAGCCCTTCTGGGATTAATACTGAATGGATGTGTCATAGTCTTTTGTAATTTTCTAGTTTTGCCTTGGTTATTTGGATGTTTAATGGGTAACTTTTCTGAGGGAAGCAATACAGGACTAGTACAGAAGAGGAGGAATAGGATCTTTAGCAGATTGGGACAGAGCCAAGATTCCACAACAGTTTTTGGACACCAAGGTCCCAACCTTGGCCCAGAGTAAGAAGGCTCATGCTGGGAGACAGCCCAAGCTTCCAGAGATGATCTGCTCTACCTATAGGAATTGTAACTTCAGGAATGACCAAATACACATACCCCATTCTGTCAACTTAAAAGCATTTTCCTAGTTGAAAATCAACAATACTTGACATTTTCCTGGTCAAACTTCAGTGGAAAAAAAAAAAAATAAATCACAAGTTAAAAACCCAAACTACCCTTGAAGGAAAAGCAGAAGATGCAACACATAAAAGAAGACAAGCCAGCTCTGGCAATTGTAGGAGCATCTCTTCAAAAATGTGTTTTCAAAAACCCAGACACTGTTCCTACCCCATGAAGTTTTTTGGGGGGAACATTCTCAGCACTGTGATACCCTCACAACATCTTAAAATAGTATTTTATAATAGAAGGTAAGTTCAACAGCAAGAACAGGAGTTTTGATATTACGTGGTTTGTAATCTGTAAAACAGGAAGGGGGAGCATTAATCCCCACAAACCAAACCTTTTTTTTGTTTTCAAAAGCAAATATGTAACTTCGTAAAATTTTCAGAGCCAGAAACTACATAATCCAACTATTTTCAGAAAATGTTTATTCTAAGATACACTGGGGATTGAATAAGCATACTCTGAGAACTGTTTAACTTGTGAAGGCCAAATGACACTAAGAACTGCCACTCACGGTGTTTCAGTATTGCACTTTTCTGATGCAGTGCAAGAGATTGAAGTGAGAGAGTGAAGCAATTTGGTTTATATTCTGCTACAGAAAATGACCTAACTGCTAGACAGAGCTAACACACCTAGAGAGTTTAAGTCTCAAGTGGTTTTTTCAGGACTCTAGTATCTCCAACACCCCTCATTCTGACTGAAAAAAACCAAACCACTAAGGCTGGGCAAATTATTTTGTCAAGGTAACACGAAGTACACAGGTACCATTAAATCACCGTATTCCTCCTCTTCAATGATCTTAAGGTGATTTAAAAATACAACCTTTGCTTTTTAATCAACTTAGCAGTTTCAAAATAAGGTCTAAGCATTTGTTTTCAGTCCATCTTTCTAGCTTCTTTTCACATATATAAAATAACATCTGACCTTTATGAACTTTATTTTAGGACAGATCTTAATCACTCCTCACCTGCAACCATAAAACTAGTACTGTCATTGCTGGGACAATGTTCCTTCAGAATTCCAATTGCAGGGAGAAAACCAGTGGTGAGAAGCCTGAAGTGTAGCTCAGGGGTACTGAATGCAAGAAGACACATCAATACTTCAAATTTTCACCTCCAACACACCTCAGTTAAACAGTAAAGTTGTCCTAGCACCAGGATCTTAATTGGACTCCACTTATCACTGTTTTCATTAATGTGAGAGTTGAAAGAGATATTGGCTTCAATAAAAAAGCTTTTACTTCAGCTCCCTCCTAAGCTCCCCCTCCCCACCCTACTACTTCATCTATTTTACAGCCCACGTAACATTCACATTTCTTATCTTTTTAAAGGGAGATAGGTCCCAATTGCCAAGCAGTGTTCAAATACAAGTGAAAATCTCCTCGGGAAATTCCCAAGCAAAGCAAAGTGCTGGAAAGGCTCTCTATACTTCTCCTGTTCCTTATACTGCTCCTCCTCAGACAGAATACTGAGCGAGGCAGATTTTGTCCCCCTCAATGCAGCCATTCTTCCCAGCATCAAACACCACTTTGTCCTCCCCAGCCTGCAGGAAGTTGGAGACAATGGCAGAGAAGTGCTGTCTCCATCGCCCCAATAGCTCAACTGGACTATCAACTAAAAAGCCACATGATGTTTCAAAGAAAAGTGGAACTCATCATTTTAATTCTGCTTTTCCAGTTTATATCCTCTGAGGGAAACAGACAAGGGCAAGACAAGCAAAAATGCATGTAATACCGGTTCTAATAACAAAGTACAGAGAATGTAAATCATTTGGCACATACATTTCCATAGCATATGAAGGCCTCCATCTCTACCCCACTCACCTGAAACTACCATTTATCTGTTAAATTCACTCACTCTCTGGATTATAACTCAAATTTTGTCCTCTGACCTGTGGGAGGGGGTGTGCAGAAAAACTACTGACCCCAAGTCTGGGTTAAATACTCTCCAATACGGAGAATACATTTCCTTGGGCAAAGTCTAACACTCTGCTTTGCTCGCTCTGCTGGGTCCGTGGTTGACTGTCTTAAGGAGTCCCTCTCACAGCTGTAATTTAATGCCTATTTTTTGATCAGTGAATCTCATACCCAAGCTTTACATGGCAAATTTACACAGTTTTAACTGCCACTGAAGCTGACACAGGATGTCACCACAGCCCAGGCAGTTCTCTGCAGGTTGGTACCCTGAGAGCAAAACTTGCACTCAATTTTCTGTTCTCTGGGACCCGTTTCCTTCCAGCAGGCTTCACACCAGCAAACACACTCACACAGCAGTGAGATAACCACTGCTGGCTTGGTTTCGCTCTCTTGCAACTCTGCTTATAACTCTACAGCCTCCACCGGCAAGACAAGTTCTTCAGCAACAGACAAAACCTCCTCCCACCTTAACCAGGACCTCATTAGTGGAAGCAAAGCAATTATGCAGAGCTACTCTGGTATCTTCTTTGTGGCTGGCAGAACACTCACTCCTCTTGCTTGTAAGCCCATCGGTCATTTAACTCTAAGAAAGGCTCTGGTTTTGCCCAGTTACTAGGGCCTATACATGGCAATATTCCAGAACAAAGTTTGTCCAGCCATCCATTTCCTAAAGTTGAACACTAATGATTAGTACAAGATTTCAGACTATTTAGAACACCTAAAAGCAAAGTGCTTTCATGCTGTTCACTGCACAATCTTAATTTAAAGCTTTAAATCTAGCAAGCTGTTATGTAAAACTGAAGTTTAATGAAGTACTTCTGCCCCATGTTCCAAACATGTCACGCAATGACTCTTCACAACTACACCACCTTATCTCAATTGCTGTGTAAAACACCTTGCCAGACTCAAGAAACACACCAGAACTAAATCCTCAAGTGGTTCATGAACATATTATCCCCTCCCACCAAGCAAAAAAAGCCATTCTAAGTATTATTCTTTCCATCTTAACTACTACTAATACACTTTTTTCATTTTTGCCTGTCTTCTGCAGCCCTATTGCACGGAAACATTCATACAGAAGGGTTTGCAGCCAATATGCCTTAGCAGTGGCCACATCTACCTTTTTCTATGCAAAGGGGTTCATCTCTTATTGAACACTGCTCCTGCAGACAGGCCTCCACCACCCAATACACCAGGTAACATCACTCTCTGGCACCCTTTATCCAGTATTGTCACTCCTAGATCAGAAACCACCCCCAAGGAGTATTTTAGAACATACAGAACAAGACTGATGTGAAGTACTTTGGGTACCTAAAGAACCACCCACAATCTTAGTGTTTTATTTGATCCCAGAAATCACAAGAGCAAGCAATTCTCACTAGTTTTACCCAATCCTCAAAAGCTTCCATATTTCATGTGTCAGCCCAAAAAGATGATACCTTTACACTCTAAATCATAACCTGACCCTGCAACACAAGTCACATACAGATCCTTTTAGAGTATCTAACAAGTACTTACCAAATATTGCTGCTGCATTTACCCATTTCTCTGGTCTTCATCTTTTTTTTAACCCCAGAAGACTGACCTAGCTCGGGTTGGCAACTTTTTGGCTTACTGTAGTGGGCACAGGATGGAGCCTGGTCCCTTCCCACTTCTGCGGTGCATAATCACTAACAGAGTCCATGTTGTCCAGGAGTCACTCGAGCACAATGTGGAATACGATGTGCCAGTACGAGCTGTACCAGTCGGTGCAAGGCCACCCTGCCTTTTTGTAGCTCTCATGGAGCACAAGCTGTCAAGGAACATCATGGTGCAACTACAGACCTGACGTGCAACAGCCGGGTTTTTCACAGCCTCATCTTTATTCAAGAAAGAACACGTACAGAACACGGAAAATACCTACTCTCATCAGCAACATTCGTTAACAGAAATAATAAATCCTGTTGAAAGCAACGAAGGGAAAGCTGCTCTGTAGTAAATTTCTGCAGATTCCAAACATTCAACATGATTTACACAGCTGTTTGCTGAAAAGGAGCGGCCCTTAGCCATAGCAGCCAGTTACTACCAACAACCCAAGCCCAGCACATGCTCAGTGAGCCAACACACTCCTGGATTTCGTCAGACCCTTACTGTACATTTTAGTAGCCAGACAGATAATTATTTTATCCAATGCTGTCACTTTGGCTGCAGACTACAAAGTACTCTGTTTTTCAGTATCTTGGTACATTTTGAAATGATTCAGTAACTGTAGCTCTATCAATTTTTAAATACCATGTGGTTTTTGGGTTTCTTCCTTCTTTAAAGCACTCCTGACAACTCAGTTTGAGAGTCATGCTTTAATGCAGGTTGCATCTTATATACATAAGAATTTGTCTTTAAAATCCAATTTACTTGGTGACCAATTTATGACCCCTCAGCTCCTCTGTGGCAGAGTGCCAATTTGCTGAACACAGCAGATATGTTGTAACCACAATACAGCACAGTCAGTTTTGAAGTGACTGCTCAAAGCACAAGTTCCAACGTGTGTACTCCCTTCCTTCTCCCACTGCTGACCTCTTTTCCTCACCCAGCAAGCAGGTGACATTGCCGGAGTACTCCTCAAAGGGCAGCTCCAGTGTTGTGATCTTTCCATGCTGAAGTGGCAGCCCTCAAACCCCCAGTTCTGCTCTCCCTCACTAGATACAGATGGCAATGCAACCTTGCCTTTTGTTTGTGCTTCCATCCCACCATCACCTCATCTGCTTCCTCCCACCTCCTGGATAACACCACCCTCAAAAAGCAGACTCGCTGGTTTGAATTTGTGTCCCCATTTTGCTTTCTCTGTCTTTACAGGGCCTACCTGTGAGTTCAACTGTTTTTACAGTTCTTCAGTATCAGCAAGTCTCTCCACCCTTATGATATTTTAGAAGGGCAAATACTCAGTGTTTTTCCCGCATATTGCAGGTCAACATTCATTTCCCTAATATCACTGCAATCCTTCCTACAGAGGGCAGCTCAATGGTTTTGGAAAAGTGCTATTTCAAATAGGCAGAGACAGCGATTTTTGATTCACACACAGTTTCTGAAAACAGTATCCACTAAACAAAATTGCAGCAGCTCTTTCAGCAGGCTTTTAAAAACATGGCGTCCCACTCCAAGCCACAAGAACTCTTCAGGTGTTACATCCTTCCATTTACAGATTGTCCACATTTGTCACTGGAAAAAGAGAACAAGGTCTAAGAAACCCATTCATTTGAGGGAGAAATTTTAATTCTTCAAGCAAGCACACAACACTTTGCATACATTAAGGTGTTACCATTTCTGTGAAAAAAACTCAACATCTAAAACCCCAGAGACATGAAAGTACTTTTCAGGAAATTTAAATCAAATCTTTTGGTCTCGTCTCAGATTCCGGATCCGTATTTGATTTTTCAACAAGGAATTCAGGTTCGGGATAGGATCATCACAGATGAGACAAAAGCAATACAGAAAACAAATTTAATTTGAAATGTACTGTTTACCTATAGGGTTTCTAATTGCAATAAAAAATTAAACATTCTCTAGCCCTTTGACATATTTCAATAATAATGTACCCTTATGTAAAGCTTTGCATGTAGGTTTGAAAGTGATCCAAGCTCAGGCACTGCTATCAGCACACACTGTGCCTCAGGGAACAAGTTTTCTTAAATTCTGACTGTACAGAATTAATTACTGTGTCAACTTATCATAACAATTGATAATTACTGTATTAAGTGTATCAACAACTGTCATTATACAAAAAATCCCCAAACTGTAAGCCCTTCAGACTTAAAATGAGAAAATGCTTAAAGCTTTTCAATTACATACCTGAATAAGCTAAAAACATTCATTCCTGTATTTTTGACCATTTACCTGTACAAAAAAAAGAGAGATTAGTTCAGAAAAATTCTTTCACCACTCAAAATACAACTTGCCATCTATTTAGTCTCTCATACAGACCCAACTGCATCATTAAACATGTGATGGATTAATATCAGTACTCTGCAAGTTCTGAGAAACTTACCTTAGAAGTGTAGTCATGCCACAGAAAGATTTATTTCTCTTCCCTTGCCCAGCTATTGCTCAACTTGGCTATGAACTAACTGAAAAACTGCAATTCCCCCTTCCTATCAGAATCCAAAAGTTCCTTTCTGAAAATTAGCTAATACCTGTTTCTCAGCTTCTATCAAAACATTAAAAATTCCAGAAGCTAAAATCCACCAAGAAGCAAGCAGTAGATAAGAAGCTGCATCCAGACCACTTTATTTTTCCTCTATGATTCTCCTGCAAGCAACAGGAAAATAGGCAGCACTGCTGCACAACAAGTTCCACTCACATATTTGAGCTTCACATACTGGGACAAAGCCTGTTCTTCAGGAGAAACTGCTGGTAGTTAGTAAGGTATTTAAAGGTACCCTTCTTTAATAAGAAGTGAAATAATACTCCTTACACACAGCAACTGTTCACAAGTACATTTAATCATTACAGAGGTCTAACTCTTCCCTCTCTCTGCTCTTTAAAGACAGTAGCTGCTGCAGCAGAACACATTCATGTCAACATGGACCTGAGGTGACTTCAAATAATGCACCAACATCCTTATTCACAACCTGGAGCACCTGGCATCTGGCCTGCAGATGGGGACAGTCATAAAAGTAACACCAACTGGGACAATGTCTGAAAGATGAAGTGACTTTTCAAAGAATTATTTAAGTGGTTTCATCTCAGTAGCCAGATCCGTATGAAGTTTCTCATCAACATATCAGGTTTGGCAGTTTCATCATGATTTACCACTTAAATATCAGTGACTGGAACTGTAACAATTCATACATTCACATATTCCACAAAATAAGCTTTATGTCTTTCATATGCAGATGTACTGAAAAGGGAATACTTTACAATTAATAAAAAATTTCAACCATTTAATCAATAAATATTACCTCTTTCTGTTGTTCTACATTTGTTAGGAAATCTTTCATCAGGACACCTGACATTCCCATTATTAGAAACTGTTTATGCCATTCTAGAAATTCAAGTAAAAAAAAATCAATTACAACATGTTCATGCATAATATAGCACAATCCATTAGGATAAATCACATTTTATTCTTGTGGATCCCCCTTCCTCCCAACCACTAGTTGTAAGCATTGGAGTAAAATTAAATTTGGTCCTGAAGGTATTTCTTAGCATCTCCAAAAGGTAAGATTATTAACTATACTCTTTAAAAAAATGAATGCACATGTTTATTAAAATCTGAACTACATTTGCCTGTTTATATTAACGAGTCTCAAACATCCCCCCTTGTTTTCTAGGTCTAAACAGTTTCTTATACTAGTTTCCCAATATAGTGCAAATTCACAATTAAAAGCCATTGAGGCAACCTTTGTCAGATTTAGTATGAACACTTCAAATAAGTGCATTTTACCAGCTCCTCCAACAGTTACCCAAATAAACTATTTGCCAACTCCCCAGCCTACAGAGTTCTAGACCACATCAAACATGCCTGAAATACAATGATATCTCAATTTTAAAGCTAATGATACACCTACAAATTTGATCATATGTATATTTTGCTAATCCATTTGTCATATTAATTTATCCCCAACCGATCATTCAAAACATACATAGCTTTCAGGAAAATCCACTTGTGTGTACCAAGTATTCTTCTACTTCCGATGGTGCTTCCATGGAAGGCTAAAATTGAAATTAAAGAAAAATTGTCTTTTAAAGTAGAAAATGTCTCTTGCTGTGGTCTACCATCATCTTTCATGTTACTATGTCAGAAACATAATCACCAAGCACTAAAAGTCATTTCTTCATACAACAATTCAATATTGATCTAGAACATTCTTCCATACCTGAAATTTTTGTATGCACTGGAAAAAAAATTACCCGGAATTGGTTTTGGTTCCTTTTGCAACCATTACAATATCTGAAGAACAAAGACATTCAAGCCTCTGCCTCAAAAATATTTACATGAGTGGCCATCCATTTATTCACAATAATTCACAAGGCAATTGTACTGTCTGTCCGTAGTTTGCAGGATCATTCTTCAACTATATTCAAATATGGTAATGTATGTAGATTCACATTAACTCCAACACACCCAAGACCAGACAGCTAACTCACATCATCTCCAAAATCAGTATAATTTAGCAGAAATTAACCAAGTGATTTATCATGTGGGTCTTTGTGCTTATTTAAATACCACAGCAAAAGAAATGAAACTGAGAACAACTGACCTAAGGGCGGACCTTGACTCAGTGAAGAGCATAAAATAATTACTCATGAATTTGGTGGCAACTATGAAAATGCAACATACTGTAACTGGTTTTCCTTGTCCCACTCAGTAGCCATACAAAGATGACAACCCTCTTGCACTTAACACTATCCATACTTTTCACAAAAATATAGAATCTACATAAGAAATGGAAGCATTTATTATCTTGAACTACAGTAGAAATGTAGGGTTATTTCTAGAGCAATAAAATTAAGATATCCAGAGCCATTACCTTAGTGCTTCTGTACAATGTATTGAGCACCACTGAAAACTTCTTCTCCATCATACCTAAAAACGAACAGTAAACAAATTTAGAATTGAAATCAGCAAGTTCTTATTACCAGGTCACTAAGACGCATAAATTATAAGACAGTAATAATCGACAGTTTCTCAAGTTTCAGAAGCAATAATATGTTAAGTATCTACATCTTAAAGTTTGCAGGCGGCCTTTTAGAAAGCAGCAAAAAATGCAGTTTTAAGTAGCAAAGGAGTTACAAGTCAAATCCACTTGAAATACCATATTGAAATCATTGCAGAAATAACTGCATGTACCCACTTTTAAACTTCAATCCAAAGGATTTTTAATGAGAATTCATCATCTCAAGGTTTCAGTCCTTTAAATCAAAGCACTGATTTTAATCACGTAGCAAGTATTTAAATCTATGAACTCAACCAGACACACTGCAAAGTATTCATTTTGTGATATACAATACTTTAAAAATGCACGTTCCGATAAGAATGTTTCTCACTCTGCACTACATAGATGAAATAAATGTAATAAATAAAAAGAACTTACTAAATATGGTTTGTTTCTGATCCCAAAACCAATTTAAGCTATAGAAAATTTCGAGTTAAGCTCGCTGATTGCACCCAATAACCAAGGGTTACTAACGGATTGTAAAGATTGAAAAGTTTTACTGTTCAGTTATCTAACGTGTGACTCAGGCTATCACTAGACAAGCTAATTCAACACGGAATGAATGCACCCGACAGCCTCCTACATAAACGCAACCATCTCCTTATCTTTACTTGCAGATAAGAGCCCGGAATCCTAGCTCTATTTTGTTATTTTATTGCCCGTTCTTCCAGAAGTAATACACCTCAATGACTTTAGCATCGTAACAGGGGGAAAAAAGCATCTTAAAAAGGCATCTTAATATAACAAGATGTTTGGGGGTGATGTGTTTTTTAAAAAAAATATAAATACATCTCCCCTTAATGTGCTGTCTCCTTGCCTAGCAAAAAAAATTTAAGAGGAAGAACGTCAGTAGTTAAAACGTTAAAATAATCTCATTATTCACATTAAAAGCGCAGGCACAGATTGTGGTGGGTTTTTTCCCTCGGTGCGATATGTGGATTTTACAGTGACTATATTTTAAAGAGTGTTCTGTTGCAGGGCAATCCCACCACGCTAACGGCTGAGCCCTCGGAAACACACACAGGCGGCACAAACCACCCCAGCGCCAAACGACCAAGGCAACTCCGCCTTATTCAAGGAGTTCACTCAAACACCTCACCCTCACCGTGGTGTTTAGGCCGACTTAATTCCCCGCCATCAGCCAGCACTTCAGGTCCTAATCCAAACGCCAACCGAGTGCGAAGCGACCGGCCGCCTCGCCCTGGCAATGGGCTGTTCCCAGCCCCGTCTGGCGGGCACCATTCCTCCCTCAGACCCCGAGGGTACCCTTCACGGCGCCCCTCACCCCCCCGCCGCCGGGCGGGCCGCTTACACATCAAAATGGCGCAGGCTCGGGAGGGCCCCGCCGGCCGCCGCCCGCACCAGGGCAAAATGGTGACCCGCCGCCCATCCCGGCGTGCCCCGCGCCGCGGGACACCGCTTCCGGCGCCGAACCGGCCCCGCCGGCCCCTTTGCTGCAACGGGGCGCTAACGCCGCGGCTGCGGCCCAGCCCTACACGCACGGCGAACCGCACCCCGTCATCCCCAGCCTCAAGCGCTACGCGGGCGAGCCTCCCCGATCGGCTAAGCGCACATAACGAAGCCCAGGGCTGGGGAAGCTGCCCACGCTACAGCCGCCTTACCCTCCGCCACACCAGCCCCGCAGGAAAAGAGAGGTCGAGTGGGGCGCTCGCCGCTTTTATATGGACGTTGCGGGGTGGGAACGAGGCTGGCCCCGCCCCTCTCCCCCGCGAGCCGAGGGGCGGGGACGCAGAGAGCCACGCGCGGGGCCGCGCCTTGCCGTGCGGTGCGCGAGCGTAGCGGGGGAGCGAGCGCGCGGAGCGGCCGTTGGGCCGCGCCCCGCCTCGCGCCCGCCCTCTCCCCTCCTCGCGGGCGGGGAGCCGTTGGTCGGTCCCGCTGACGTGTTCCCCGCCGAGCGCGAGGAACGGCGCCCCTGAGGGGGAGCGGCCTCCCCTTCGGCTGCCTGAGGGGCCGGCCCCGCACCCGAGCTCCGCAGCGGTGGGCGATCAGGGCGGGAGGCGCTGCCGGCCTCGGACGGACACCTCGCTGCGGGGCCCGCACCGCAGGCCCGGGGAGCTGAGCGGGAGGAGACCTTGGGCTTGGCTGCCCGCCCTCCGAGGGGAACAGACGGGAAAGGGCTGTCCTCTGTGGCTGGGGATGGTGCGCCCTGAGGGGTAAAAAGGAATGAGCAGCCGAGTCTGGCTTCTGGTCCCGGCGCTGTTCATGCGTTTTGCATTGCAGGGTTTATGCATAAAGCGCAGTGCTCGCGAGTGAAGGCAGGGACCTGATAGAGCTCCACCTCCCAAACTTACCAAAAAGTGTTTTAGAATCATAGAATCGTCTAGGTTGGAAGAGACCCTTGGGATCATCGAGTCCAATGCAGAGGCAAGCAGTTTGCACCACTGTTATCTATCCGTGTGATCTATTCAAAAAGCCCCAAAACTGATGTTTGCCGCATGGCACTAAAAACGTTAAGCCACCCTTCCTTGGTGACATCAGGGTTAAAGATAAGCAAAGTAATCACGGCCATTAATCATGACTCCATTAGCCCTAAAGAAAGAATGCAGCTCCTTACCATTCCTTTCCTAAGTGCTAAATAATTATGTCTTCTCTACAGCAGGCTGTGGAGGGCTTTTACGTAGGTTACTCTCTCAAAGAATGGAATTTCTTTTCAGGGGAAAAAATAGAGAGACTGGTAATTTAAGTCCAAAGTCCATTACATAAAGCATGAACGAGTACTATTTTAGTTTGCAATCGATAATAAGAAGGATATAAATAATGAGGTGACTGAGGGCCTGTCCAGGGCTGCTCTGTATTGTGAGCTTTGCAGGGGGAGTACCGATGTGCACTTTCTGCCTTGCACCTTCCAATGTTACCACACACCAGCTTTTGTAATTTGGCAGAAGAAACTCTTCACCTCTCTGTTAGATTGTAGGGTACAGGCATCCTTAACCTGTATCCCAGGCGTCTGGATGAGGGTGCAAACACCTCCCCAGGGAGACCCTAAGGCTAGTCTGAACCATAAGCCTGGTTGCCATAAAGCGTTAAGTTTATAGATTAATCGCTTCTGAATTTAGCTCACCACACAGCTGCACATTTCTGCACAGTGTGAGCACTGGCAGAAGGGAGTGCTGGTGATGAGATAATGGGGATGGACTGGACTGACTCTTCTGAGGCCCACAAAAATGTATGTCAGCCTGAAAGGCTGATGCTGTGGCTACCTCCAGGGCTTTTCAGCTCCAGGCAACTCTCTCCAAGTTATCTTGTCTTTTTTTTAAAGATTTCTTTCTCCTCTTGTTCTTTTTCTTTATTTCTGTCTTCCCCCCACTTCCCTTCTGTTCCTATTTTAAGTCTGGCTTCCTGGATTTTCTCCAATAGCTTTGCAGCTTTGATGACTCACATCTCTCCTTTTGGGGTTGTTACCGGTGCATCCTTTGGGATGCTGAGGTCCCCTCCTCTCTCACCTTCCCAGCAGGAAGTCTATTGTATGCAGCTTTAATTTCTTCCTTCTCAGAACAGATAGTATTCATTGTAAAATCCTGAGCTGACTTTGCCACATTTCACATTATGCATCACAAAACGCGCGATTTGAGAAACAATTTCTTTTAGCTTATGACTTTGGCCCTATTTTTAATGTTGTACAGAGACCAGAAGTCTTTATTTAAACTTCTCCTCAACTCTCTCTCTTTGAATTTTTTGTCGCTTTAGTGTCACAGAAAGACGAGTGCATTTTTCAATGACGAATGAGATCATAGAGCCATCAGAACAGCTGTACATGGTCAGAGCAGAGGTCCACCCACCCCCATTCCCCAGTATCCTGCCTCCAACTGTAGCCAAAAGTAAATGCCTGGGGAGGGGAGCCGGGATAGAACAAGCATGTAGGGATCCTTCCCTGAACATTCACCCAGCCTCTGGAATATAAAACCCAGACACCTAGACGATGGGAAGGGTTTTGTGTGTGTGTGTGAATGTAACAATCTTCCATTAATTTGCTGCCCAGAAAATTTGTCCAGTCTTAGACACAGGTATTTCTCAAATGATTCATTGTAGAATTTGTTTCCATGTTATCTTGTTCTTAAAAATAGCAAGCTTTCCAGGACAGGACAGTGTGTTAGCAGGCGACGTGAATGTATCTTGCTTTTAGTGGCTCAGTTCTTCTCCTACAGGAAGAGATCAAGCAGCACTTTCTATAGGTTCTATAGGTGTATTTTAACTTTACAGTTAAGTAGAATTTAGGAGCTGCTGCTGAGAGGGGTGACTTTGTTCTTCCCTCCTCTCCTGTCACCGCTACAAGCTAATCATTGTGCTGCTGCTACAGGGAGCAACCTGGTGCAATAGAAAACAATTTTTTCTTTTTTTTTTTTTTTTTTTTTGCGGTTTTAGTTTTCTAGCAAATGAGCCACCTGAGCTGACTCACGCTGTGACCACCTAACCACGAGATTTAACAGAAGGGAAGTGGTGGGAGCACACACCCTGGGCTGGGGAGGAGTCGAGCAGGACGATGTCCCCTGACAGCAGCTAGTACTTGGCAGTTGTAAGTATGATGTGAAACCTCACGCTTGATCCCTCCAAAATGCAGTGTAAATTATTTGTAAACCTGAAGAGAAGGTAAACTAATGTATTGCTGACTTCCTAGGAGGGAACACACAGTATTGCAAATTCTTCTCCTGTACATAAGCACGTGTCCCCTGTCCTGAATCTCCGGACTGGAGCTGATGGCTGGGCTGCTGATGCTGGTGGGGTTGCGTCCTTCTGCTGCCATCAAAGTACTTGGACAAGGTACCTCCTGCTGAAGGCCCTCCTACATTCTAACCTGCTCTGCCTGGTTGTGCTCTCTTGGGTATTCCTCAAAACTCAGGCTCTCCAGGCAACAGGGGGAAAGACCTGGGCATTTCAGAAGTTGCATAGGAGCTCTCTGCCTGGTAACAGCAGACAGTAGAGTAAGACAAGGCCATCCTGTTTTGAGGTCCTCAATTTTACATATGCTGTGTAGGGAAAATATGGGACAAGGCTGCCACTCCTTGTCAGCACCAGGAACACGCTTTGCTTGGCTACAGAACACGCAGCTAATAGGCAGATGAGATTTATTTACCTGGTTCCTGTGACAAGAAGCAATTGCCCTGCCAGAGGTAAGGAGCACGTGGTGTTTCTAAATGCAGGGCTCTTGCAGAGTAGAGAATTTGTGGTATGAAGCTTCAGCTAGGGGTCTGTTACAGGCACAAATCCCCTGGTGTTCCTTGATCTCCAGCTGCTGCCAGAGTCTCAGGGTGCGCTCTCACCAGCATCCTTTGTGATCCCCGAGCCAGGCCCTCTTAGGAGCCACAAATGGATAACCAGGACGTGCACTTGCTGAGATGCTCTATTCTTTCTCAAAAAGCAACCCTGGGGGAGTTTTCAGAGAGTGATCAGATCTGAGAGCAGGCCACCAGGGAAGAGCGGGTGACCTTCAGCCTCATCTGGAGCATCTTCTAGGTGGAAGCCATAAAACGGTCTGGCCATTACCTGGTCTTGGGAGAGGCAAGTAGCTCACTGCCCATGGTGGGGAGGTCAGGATGCCAGATGGAGATGGAGAAGCTGGTGAGTGACCCCGGTAGCTGCATGCACAGTGCAGACCATTAACATTTGCTGTAATGCAGCTGAGTATCCCCACAGGAGCTGGCATAGTTGACAAAGTTATTGTGTGGCCCTGGCTGGTGCCGGTTGCTCTGCACCAGGGCTGTGTCCAAGGTGGAAAATGTTGTTTGCATACAGACATGTTGAGTACTCCCATCCTCCTTGGAGGGATCGTATGCCTACCAGATAATGAAATCCCTTCTCTGTCAAGATCTCTGAACCACTGTGTGTGGAACACTTGGTGCCAGTGGAAGGAAGCACATACCTGCTTTCTCATATTCATCTTCTCCTACACCATGTATAGGAGATACAATCCTAGGTTTCTTGTATGTGTCTTAGGTGTTTCAGTCTTGACATTGCCTCTTCTACCTGTGGGCATCCTTCTTAGCCCATCTGGAAGTTCCTGACATTGCACCTGTATGAGAAAGAGTCCACCAGCAGATTTTTGTTGGCGTACTGCCTACGGAGCCAGCTGATAAAATGTTACTGATCCATAGACTCGGCATGGTACAGCCTTTCTGCAGAATGCAACTGGAGCTGTGGATCAATTCTCTGCTCCTCTGAAAAAATGGAAAGCAAAGAGAGCTTCAGAAGCTACCACAGTGTGCTCTAAGTTGTATCACCTGAACTAAAATATCTGTTGATGATGGTGTTCTATTTCATAAAAACGAAAAAGAAACTTTAAAGCAGTATTGAAGAAGGAAGCTCATCAGTGCTGCTTAATGCTGTCATTAAGTGTCAGATAATCTACATCAAACTATGCTAGTTCCTTGGGCCAACACAGCATTAAAAACAACTGCTTTGTCACATTTCTTTCTTAATTTTTCTTTCTCTTCTTTACTTGGGTTACTGAAGCATGCGCTCAGTCCTGCTTAAGTAGATATGAAGAGAGGAGTGGATCTCACTTCAGGAAATGTTAATTGGTATGTTTCATTTCTCTTGAAGATCTTGCAGTTTATTGACATGTTTAAGTAGTTGCCATGGTCTGCGGTGGGAGTTTGTGACACAGCTTGATTGTAGAGTTTGTCACAGAATCACAGAATGCTATGGGGTTGGAAGGGACCTCTGGAGATCATCTAGTCCAACCCCCCTGCCAAAGCAGGTCCACCCAGAGCAGGTTGCACAGGAACGTGTCCAGGTGGGTTTGGAATGTCTCCAGAGACGGAGACTCCACCACCTCTCTGGGCAGCCTGTCTCTTACGTGTAAGTAAGAGATAACACAGCTCTAGAATAATGAATATATATTACACTAGGAGCGTCTAAGGATTCCAAAACCTTATCTAGCCCACCAGACTGGTTGTAGGCAGAAGCAGACCAAGAAATTACACATCCTTTCCTTCCAGGAGTCCTGTAACCCACTTCGAGTTACCGCAGACCACACTAGGACCTGCAGTGACTTGTTCTTCCTTTATACCCACGTTTCTGCAGCAGAGGCAAGACTCACCTCGCAAGCGCTGAGAGGGACCAGCCTTTAGAGTTGCTCCTGCCCATCCGTGTTCCTCCACACCCTGTGTGGGACAGGGCCACGGGACTGTGCACAGTGGGAGACTTCCTAAGGCTGCAGCAGCAGAGCTGGTGAAGAAGAAACACGTTGTCAGACGACACATGACAGGACAAGAGGCTGAAACCTCGTCTGAACTCGTAAGCAATCTGCTTTGTGGTGCTGATCAGCCGCGTACGCCTGACCCACAGCCTTTCTGGGGTACTGATGCTTGATACAGGAGTGGATAAATTTTCCCCACTTTGAGATTTTAAGTGGGATGGCCATTAAGATCATTCTTCTGTAAACACAAGAGGGCACTCCCACCTCACTTCTAAATGACTTAACAGCACGTGTAAAAGGAAGTGCTTGATGAAACAGCATAGAATTGCAGCTACTCCTTTGTATGTGTTTTGATAGCACAGCAACCACTATAAGCATTTATAAGTATTTATAGGCCATACTAAATACATGCAGTCTTGGTTTGGTGCTTTGTCCAGAAAAATATATATGAAGAAAAAATTGAATTTAACCCTTGATCTCAATGAAGTAAAAATAAAAGTCTTATGTCCTTGTAACCAGAATTGCACTGAAACTTGGGGTCTACAGACAACTTTTTGGGATTTCAGGTGCATTATCTCATGGAAACAGAGAGTCCTTTTGCCTACCATAGTAAATTCACTAAAAGGAACTACAGAAAGGGAGAATGAAATTTAAAGTTATTATACTTGCCAACACCCACACATGTTGAAGTAGAATGTCAAGGCTCCATTCACTTAAGTTTCCCTTACCCACTCGTTCTTGCCTGCCTGGTGTGTCATGCTGTCAATGCTTTGCACGCTCTAGTGACTTACACAAGAATAAATGTATTTTAAGTTTACCCAAGGGCCTCTGAGCTGTTGGGATCAAAGTCTCACTTGATCACTCAGAAAGGTTTTAACAGCTTTTTATAGCGTCCAGCACAGTAAATGAATATCTAGACTTGTAAACCAGAATTTTCTGTACATTTAAAAATACAAATATAATCCATAATTAATTACTTTTTAAAGGGAAATATAAACACACAAAGCCCAAAGTCCACTGTGCTAATTGTCTCAGTTCAAATACTTACATTTCCTTCACCTGGAGAGAGTTATTTGATATGGTCTAAAGCTTTTCCATGGGGAAACAGATTTTAACAGCACTTTTAGCCTCCTCACTTTCTTTTTGTGTAAGTGGAACGCACTTTTGATTTTCAGTCAGCAGCCCTCTCCTGGTGAAGGCTGTTCTGGTCTCTGTTTCCTGTAGGAAACAGAAAATGTAAGCAGTGGAATAAGGAGTAGAGTTGGGAGGAGGGAGGCCTGGCAAGTCTCCAGCGGGAGATGGCAGAGTTTTATATGTGAGCCTTGTCCAGGTGCACTTGGTGATCCTCCCCCATGCTTCTTACCCCTTATTCTTACCCCAGCGCTTCTTTTGATCATTATGAGCTTCACCACCAATTTCTTAAACTACTCTCCCTTTGACCAAGAGGTCTGATATCTCTCTCTCACAACCCTTTTGATCTGGGATGCTGAAAGTGAGGAACAGAAGAAGGATCAGCATCATCTAGTGCAGCAAATTACTTGATAGCCCCTTGGGGGAAAATCTGGGGGAGGAGAAATATAAAGTACTAAAATAAGGACTATGGGGAGTGCTGGCATTAAAGGCGTGTGAGTATGTGCTGTGGATTCTTGCACTGCACTTTATCTTCATGACACCGCTTTTTTATTTTACGGCCCAGCAGATCTGTAAATTCATACCTGACTACTTCATAAAACAGGCAGACAAGTGTGGAAAGATTAAAAGCAGGTAAAGTGTTTGTAAAGTAACTTAGAAAAATATTGAATGTAACTGAACTTTCTGGTATTGGTTACTTCTCCAAAGAAATCCGGTTTAAAAATGCACATTTTGCCTAAAACAAATGAAGTCGTGAGAGATTCTCATTTCAGGTGCTCATTTCATTTCCAAGCGTGATCTTCTCCTCAGAAACAGCAAACGATTTATAAGTATGGATATTTCTGAAATGATGATCATAAAAGTTGACTTTTAGCTCTGTTAATGAACCGTATTGAAGAGGCTGGCTGCTCTAGAGAAGGCCACCTCTGCCAGCACCAGGAAATTGTTCCCCCAGTAAGGGTCAATAATATTAAAGCACAAGAAATCAATTTGAAATGCTAGTGACCCTATCATAGGACTTCTTTTTTTTCTTTTTTCTTCTATTAAGTGCTCATTCTTATGTTTACCAAAGTCTAGAAGGAAGGAGGAACTCATGGGAAGTAGTATAATTTGAAAATATATTGTATGCTGGTTATGAATCTGGC